GGGTAAATTCATGAACTCGCATATACCTGCAGCGTATGCGGACGTTAATAAGTTCGAGCCCTCATCCATCATTGGCTCGTCCATCCAAGACCGAAAATATGAACCCATCGCGAAYAATTTTTTTGGTTTTTTACAATTGTGTTATGAACCAAGATCAGAAGTGTCGAAGCTTATATAGAACGGATTTCCGAAGGAAATCCGTCTCAAAACTCCGACACCAATCAAATCCCATCGGCCACCGCTAACGAAATGGTAACCACTCAAATTTGCCGTCATCGAATTTCCGACGGAATTCCGACGGAATAAGTTTCGTCGGTATGCGCTGCCCAATCAAACTTTGCCGACATCAGAAATATCGGATTTCCGTCGGAAATCCGTCGGAAAGTCGTCAGAATATTACGACAGTTTATATCCGTCGGTTAATTCCGACGGAATACCGACGGTAGATAAAACCGTCGGTATTCCATCGGAATTAACCGACGGATTTCCGACGGTTTACATTTGGTCGCAATTTCGTCGGTAAACCGTCGGAAAATTCCGACGGAATTCTCGCCCGTCGGAATTTCCGTCGGAAATCCGGCTGTTTTCTTGTTGTGTTAGGTGTTTTGGTTTGGTTTCGGTTTATCTAGAAATCCGTTTGATTGCCATTTTAAAACTATTTCGATTTCGGTTCAGTTTCAGTTTAAAACCATAAAACCATTTGAGTTTTTCGGTTTTTGCAAAAAAAATATATTATTATTAGTTTATCTTAGTTCGATACTGGGATACTAATTAGTCAAATGCCAGCATATAGTCAAATGTTAGCAGAAACAAAGTTTATAGATTTTTTTACAAGGTATGTATTGATAATTCTTCTAGTCGAACACATTGATGTGTGATAATAAGAGTGTTTTCTAGTTTTCTTCTTCTACTTACTAGTTTTTATAACATTTTATGTTAGTTTATTCATATTTATTTTAACTTTTTGATAGTTTTGAATTTATATATACAGTTTTTATTTCGAATATCATGAAATAAACCGAAACCAATCCGAACCGAAATACAAATGGTTTATATATGATTTAAGTTTTTACAAAACCGAAAAATTAAATAAACCAAACCGTAACCAAACCGGAATACAAATGGTTTTTACATGGTTTGAATTTTTGT